CATTTATAGGGTTTCTCTCCTGAGTGGATCTTTTTGTGACTTCTAAGGCCACTGCTACGAGTAAACGTCTTTCCACACTCCATGCACTGATAGGGTTTTTCTCCTGTGTGGAATCTTTTGTGGTTTCTAAGGGAACTGCTTTGAGTAAACGACTTTCCACACTCTGTGCATTCATAGGGGTTCTCTCCTGAGTGGATCTGTTTGTGGCGTCTAAGGCTCATTCTCCAAGCAAAGGTCTTTCCACACACCATGCACTTAAATGGCTTCTCTCCTGTGTGGATGATTTTATGGGAAGTAAGATTATACTTTTGAGCAAAGGTCTTTCCACACTCTATGCATTTAAATGGTTTCTCTCCTGTGTGGATTCTTTTGTGTATTCTTAGGTCACTGTTCTTAGCAAAGGTCTTTCCACACTCCATGCATTTATAGGGTTTCTCTCCTGAGTGGATCTTTTTGTGGCTTCCAAGGCCACTGCTACGAGTAAATGTCTTTCCACACTCCATGCATTTATATGGTTTTTCTCCTGTGTGGAATCTTTTGTGATTTCTAAGGGAACTGCTCTGAGTAAACTTCTTTCCACACTCTGTGCATTTATACAGTTTCTCTCCTGAGTGGATCTTTTTGTGACTTCTAAGGCCACTGCTACGAGTAAACGTCTTTTCACATTCCATGCATTTATAGGGTTTCTCTCCTGTGTGGAATGTTTTGTGGTTTCTAAGGCTACTGCTCCACGCAAAGGTCTTTCCACACTCTATGCATTTATATGGTTTCACTCCCAAGTGGGTCCTCTTATGGATAGTAAGTTGTGTGCTTCTTCTAAAACATTTTCCACATTCCAAACATTTATAAGGCTTCTCTTTTGTATCAATCGCTTTTTGAGATGTAAGGAAATTATTCCCATGAGAAAGAATGAATCTCCCATTGTAATTTTGTCCGTTGTATCTTCTTATAGCATCATCTCCTGTGTTTTGGGTTAAATAGTGTTCATTTACTTGTACTTCAGCTTTGATTAGCTTCACACTTTTTCCAGTATATTTTTTCCTTATTTTTTCTTCTTGGGCAAGAAAGTCTTGCATCAGAGCATCAGTGGAAGATGAGCTTTCCTGATGCCAATTCTTTGACTGGTTTTTCTCATGGTTTTCGAATTCCATTCGAATTCCAAACTTCTCCGTTCCACCTTTAGCATTGATCACTTGGAACAGTTCATAGGAATCTTGATTCTCCTGCCCATTATTACCTTCAAAGCAAAAGGAAAATGAAAATGACAATGAGGTTAGAGAAAAAGATCAAAGTATAGAAAGTCAAGTGAATTTCCTTCTGAATTTCTCCAAAATTCCATTAGGTTGTATGTTTGCATGCCTACAGTGTGATATAGACATGATGATTTCTATATTTATAACTCATGAAAGCTTTGAAAATGTCTAGAAAACATCTCTTTCTTTACAACTATCTATAAATATGCAAATCTCACTCAGAATCAGTTCTGAGTCAAGGAATAGAATAGTTTGATTTTCCCTTCTTTGTGGCAGCCCCTGAGATAATGGAAAACTGCTATCATGTCTCCCCAGTCCTTGTTTTCATTAAACTAGACATACCTAATTCCAGCAACCATTCTTTATAGGTTTTAGTCTCTAGTCCCTTAATCAACTTCGTTGCTCTTCTCCACACTCTTTCTAGAGTATCAACATCTTTTTTACAATCATGGTGACCAAAACTGGATGTAGTATTCCAAGTGTGGCCTTACTAAGGCATTATCAAGAGGTATTAACAATTCACATGATCTTGATTCTATCCATCTGTTTTTGCAGTGTAGAAATGTGTTGACTTTTTTGGCAGCTGCTATGCACGGCAGGCTCATAATTAAATGGTTGTCCATTAGGACTTCCAAGATCCCTCTTACAGTTACTACTATTGAGCAAGATACCACATATACTGTACCTGTGCTTTTTTTTCTTTTTTGCCTAAATGTAGAACTTTATTTTTTCACCATTGAATTTCATAATAATCAGGGGAAACATCCACGGAGGAATTAGGAGAAAACTTAAGATTTATTGGGCCATTGCAGTATTTTAGGCCTATGTTCTTTTAAGAACTGAGGACTGCACCAGATCCAGGGCAAAAGTCTTTGAAAACAAAGAGGCCTTTCCTCTCCTTTGCCCTGGATCTGCTGTAGGCCTTGTTTAGCAGTGAACAGAGGCCTAAAGCACTGTAGTACGAGGTCACATGAGATCAATAATGCTAGATTTCCCACCACTGATCATGTGTATCTCTCACTACTCTTCTTTCTGAAAATGCACTGAAGTACGCAAGGGAACCGATGGCTCGCCACATCGCTGCAAGGTACCATATTTTTCAGACTATAAGATGCACCTAGCTTTAGAGAAGCAAAACAAGAAAATAGAAGTTTTTGGCCTCTGCATGTCTCATTTTTGTCCTCCCCGGCATCCAGAAGCACTCTCCCTGCCAAAAACGGGCCCATATTTGGCCTCCCAAACCTTCTGTACATCCTGTTCTCAGCCTCCCTGAAGCTGAGGAGGGAAAAATGGGACCCGCGTAGGCCTCCGGAGACCAAAAGCAGGCTCTGCAGAGTGCTTCTGGATGTCAAGGAGGGTAATAATGGGACGCGCTGAGGGTTTGGAAGGCCAAAAACACATCCATTTTTTGCTCTGTAAGATGCACAGACATTTCCACCCACATTTTTGGAGGGGAGAAGTATCTTATAGTCTGAAAAATATGGTAAGTCCCTGTGAGATGGGGTGGGGGAATAGGTAGGGTGAATATTGTAGCGCCTCTACTGTCATTCGTAAGTGTGAATGATGACTGTGGAGCGGCAACACTCATAAATTTTGGGACTGGGTCTCAATACTTCAGGAAGAAATGGTTGTCAACCTGGAACTGTTCGCTAAGTGAACTGTGGTAACTTGAGGATTCCTTGTACCCTAGGATGCTCTGAGTCACACTGCATGAGGCATTTGTTCGATTGGGAGAGTAATCTTCCATGGCCTGACCATGAGAGGTTCTGTTCTCAGACAAATTGGGAAGGTTTCAGAGGACAAATGACAACACACTCCTATCACAGGACCTCCAGAGGACACATAAAAGCACACCTCGTTCTTTTCAGCCTCCAAAGATAAGTTCAAATAGAAATGGAAAAATACAGGGGACTTCCGGTGACGTCGTGTCGTGGCGGTTCAGGAGCATTCTGCTCTGATCTCCTGAGCCGGGATTTTCGCCTCTAGATGGCCGTTCCTGGTGGTGTCAGGTCCTGGAGGGATCGACAAGGCGAGGAGAGACTCTTGGAGATAGTTTGGGAGGTTGCGATCCCGAAAAATTGAAGAAGGGAGCCCGAAGTCCGAGGAGAAAGAAGTCAGCCTGTGTGGCCAGACCCGGAGATGTGACAAACTTGCTAGCAGGAAGCAGCGAGATGGCAGTGGATGAAGGGGTGGGAATCGCATGAGATTGGAAGCTTTATTTGGATTACAATTCATTTGGATAACAATTGAGATAGACAATCGTTTGAAAGAACAATCAAGCGGACTAAGGAAACCCAGGGTGAAAGGGGGGAGAGTGGAAATTGGCGGCAATGTTTTAACCTACTACCCCTAATGCTGGGACAATAGTGAATGTAAGTGTGAAAATAAGAAAACAAGAAGAATTGTGACGGAAAATTGGAGTGTGGTGTGAGAGCTGAGAAGTTATTTTGGGAAGGTTCCTTTTCCTTTTGACAGCTTGAAACTAATGTGTTAAAATCAAGTGAACTGGAGAGAGAAAAAAACGATCGGGTAAGAACCTAATCGGAAAGAAGAGTGACTGTGCAATTCTTAAGACGGCCATTGAGAAATCTAAATTCTGGTAAACTGTTTCATTGTGAATGAAGAGACTTATAAACTTGTAACTGGAAAAATATTGAACTACAAGAACACTGGTATATATTTAATTAGCTTATTGTCATATTATAGATAGGAGGAATATTGTATCAGATAACTTATATAATTCTATTTTTTTATTTACTTAGTAGCTGAATACTTTAGATTTCATATTTTTTATATAGATTCTTTTCTTTGATTCCCTCATAATTCACAATTCTTATTTTATGTATAGTGTCAGTATAATTAAGAATATTGAAGAAATCATATAGTAATGTGTTTAGATAACCCTAATTGATTTTGATAAAAGGAAGGTGATAATTAATTGTCCTACTTAACCCTTTCCCAGTGATTTATTGCGATGGTATGAAATTATTATAGTATTTATTACAACACCATAGGTATTTTTTCTCTTAATATAGATTGCTAAGAGTTAAAAATTAAGTGTGTACTGATTGTGATGGAAGTTGGTGAGTAGTTAATCAAAGGTGATATTGTCTGATACGAATTGATGGTAATTTGGGATAGTATATATAGAATAATAGATGAACAGGCCAAAATTATAAAAGATATGACAACTATCACCACTACTAAGACAGGGAAAAAACCTGTGCCAACCGTGGCACCATCCAGTCTGGCAGTTTCCACCTAACAAACAATTGAAGGAATGTTGACCCCCGAGAAATCGACTACCACAACCAGCGCCCAATCAGTGCAAACCTCCCTATTAGCAATCCAGAATACAATGCTAACATTACAAGCATCTATGGCCAAAAATCACATTGAAAGTAAAGCAGACCGGGAAGCAATGAAAACTGAGCTAAAATCAGAAATAAGGGAAATGAAAACTGATATCAGAAACCTGGACAAAAAAATAGGCTTGATCAAGGAATCAACCAAGAAAAATGAAGAAAAAATCAAGATAATTGAACAACAATCCAAACAAAATGAAAAAAAGTTAGAACTTATGAACTATAAAATTACAACTCACAGCAAGGAAACTCTAGAGGCCTTAATCCACCTTGAGATGGATAGAGCCTCTTATTGAGATTTCAGAACGTAGAGGAAACTAGAGAGGAGGACTTAACATCGGTGATGGCTAAACTTCTACCAGATTTTCTTCAAAGAGACAAAGATGAGATGATAAATGAATTTGATGATATCTACAGAGTCTATACTAGTTATGCAAGACAACACAGACTCCCTCGAGAGGTCCATATTAGATTTGCTAGAAGGAAAGTCAGAGGTATTATTTACAAGATTTCTAGAGAAGACACAATAAAATACAAAGATAAACAAATAATAGTACTGAAACAAATACAAGAAGAGTCTGGGAACAGAGGAAGGACTATTAATTCCTCACTGATAATTTAAATAAAAAAAAAATCTTTTAGATGTATTATCCCGGAAGGTATTCTGACATCCTGGAATGAAAAAAGAGTGAAAATTGATAACCTAAATAAAGCACAAGAGTTCTTTGAACAGCTGGGCGGATCAGAGGAGGAAAGAAGTAGCAGAGATGACTCGGAAACGCCAAGTTAAGAAGAAATACAACAAAGAACTAAAGAACGAGAGGAAAACCAAAACAAAGAAGATAGAGGGGAAAGATCTACCTGAGAGGAAACAGGAATCAAAACTAGAAGTCAAACTAGCCAAAACCAATGAGAGGTAACACCTAAAATAAGAAAGAATGGGGAAAGGACTAACACTGACTTCTATAAATATTAATGGCTTAAACCAGGGGTGTCCAACCTTTCACCTTCTCTGGGCCACATTAGAAGATGAAAATTTGGTTTGGGCCGCACATAGAATAAAATAACAGTAACGATACCCGATCATCCCAAAAAACCATAGAAAACATAGTTAACATATTAAATTTATTTGGAAATAAAGTTAGTGAGATGTTTTTATTATTTATTATTAATTATTTATTTAAAATTATTTATTTTTTATCACGGTTTTTTTTTGGGGGGGGGAAGCTCGCCTGCCTCACGCCTACCTCCTCCTGCAAATAGCCCGGCTGGATGAGGCAGGACTGGAAGACAGAAGCAGCAGCAGCAGCGGCGGGGCAGAAGCAGCGGCGAGGGAAGGCTTCTGCCCCCGCCGCCGCTTCTTTCCCCGCCCCCGCTGCTGCTTCTGCCCCCGCTGCTGCTGCCCCCGCCGCTTCTGCCGCCACCGCCGCTTCTTCCCCCGCCACCTCTGCTGCTTCTGCTGCCGCCATTTCTGCCCCCGCCACCACCCCCGCTGCCGCTTCTGCCGCCGCCGCCTCTACCCCTGCCGCGGGGGCAGCAGCGGCGAGGGCAGAAGCGGCAGCGGTGGCGGGAGAAGAAGCGGTGGCGGCGGGGGCAGAAGCGGCAGGGGTGGCGGCGGG